ATCGTATTAGATGCAAAAGATTTATAAAAATAATGAATGGAAAGCATAAGCCAGCTTATGTCTCGAATTTAACCTATCTAGAAATTACTTATTACTATTCACTTTCAGATAAAAAAATAAAAAATATTGTGAATACATTTCCAAATATAAATCATTTAGATTTCAAAAATAGTATAGGTTTTGGTGATAGATTACTATTTATAATAGCGGAATCATATTCTAATTTAAGATATCTCAATTTGTAAGATACTCAAGTAATAATTGATAAAGGCTTATGTGTAATAGTAGGATCATGCTGTAAATTAGAACATCTAAATATTTCTTACTGCAAAAATATTACCGATAAATCTTTGTTTGAAATTGCAGAAAATTGTCATGATATACAAGTGTTTCATTTTGCCAAAGCATGTCAGATCACAGATAAATCTATAAGTTGCACCTTAAACTCATACCTAAATTTACGAAATCTTGATATTACATATAGTAAGGGGGATATTAAAGATGCTAGTATAATAATACAGAGATATCTCAGCATAGAGTATCTCAACTTTTGTGATGTTATAGCTTTGTGGAATGATAGATTAATTATAGCTATCATCAAAAGATCTTTAAATTTAAGATATATAGAGATAGGTTGTAATGATATTGGTGATGAGGTTACTGAAATGCTGGCTTATACTTGTCATAAATTAGAATATCTTGATCTGGATTGCTGTAATTTTGTTAATGAACCATCAATTTGTAATGTTATACATTCCTACCCAAAGCTCCAATATTTCAACCTTAATTACTGCAATATTATAAGTAAGACTATCGAAGAAATTGCTCGCTTATATCTCAATTTAAAATCTCTAGATTTAGAAGAATGTGAAAATATTAGTAAAAAAGCCATGGATCAGCTAAATCCAAATATTCATATCGAAAATTTTAATAAAGATTACTGCTATTCTAATTCAGAATCTTTTAGCTCTAAAATTGAATCAGAGTTTAAATAATCTAGCTAGTCTAGAGCAGTAATCACATAATTTTTCTGAAAGTGCTTTGCTATTTTTTTTAATTAAAGATACAGTATATATTATTTATGACGCAATCAAGCATCTTTTATTTATCAAAATTACTTAAACAGATTTTATATTTTTTAGCGATAGATAAATCCCTCTATTCTATTCTATTTATTTGCTAACTTTGATACAGGTGTGGTACTCCCATTATATAGAAATGTGTTGAGCTAAAGAGAAATAACATACATCGTTCTCGATTGAAAAAATTTATGAAAATAGTGCGTAGAAGATAAAAGCCAGTTTATAGCTCAAATCTAACTCATTTGAAAATTTCACACTACCACCCACTTTTAGATAAAAAATTCAATAAAATTGTGCGCTTGTTTCTAAATATAATTTATTTAGATTTCAATTATAATACAAGATTTAACAACAAAATACTAAAATGAATAGCAGAATCATACTCCAATCTGAAGTATTTTAATTTGCAAAAAGTCAAATATATATCCTGTAATATAGGCATAATAACTGATAAAGGTCTATATGCAATTGCCCTGTCATGCCATAAATTAGAATATCTAAATATTTCTTACTGCATAGATATTCGTGAACTATCAATTTGTAATATTATTCGTTCTTATTCAAAGCTTAAACAACTTAACCTTAGCTTTTGTAAAATTACCGATATAACTATCAAAGAAATTGCTAGATCATGTCTTAGTTTAAAATATTTTGATCTGAAAGGATGCTATAATATTAATATAGAAGCTGTAAATCAGCTCCTTTCACTTAACCCAAATATTCATGTTGAAAATTTTAAGGATACTAAAACATATTCTGACTTTAATTATTAGTGTTTTTTCTAGACATGATGCTGTTTCTAATTAGAATTCAGCTATATATCAAATACACAAGTAACCTAATTTTAATATAATTGTGATAGTTTTAGATGATGTACTAGTTGATCAATCTAGCTAATCCAGAGTAATGATCATCAGCATTACGTTACTCAGTATATTGTATTTTACATTTTTTTCATTTGAAGATGAAAGAATATTAGCCAATCAAACAGAATGCTAGTACTCTATTGATCTAACTAATCTGGATCAGTGATCACCAGTTCAGAAGATTTTTGCTAAATCACAGATTGTGCAATAGAAAAAATAAGTAAAACATCAGTCAGGTCTTATGCGACATATTAATTTTCGTATATACTGAAAAGAAGCTATACATACTACTAGTACTTTATTTTTTATTAAGTATAATTGATTTACAATATTAGCAAAATGTTTGATGAGAATATAGATGCTAAGAAGGAGAAAGCTTTCGATGAATTTACCAAAGAATATGAATAGAGAGAAGAGAATTAGACTATTTATGATAATTATTAGCATGACTGGAATAACCTTTTTTGTGAAATTAAAATCCATTAGAACACAAAGACGGTCAAGTATTAGAGAAAGAAAATACTTAAACGATTTGTATATAGTCTACCCAGTGTAAGTAATCCAATTTCATTATTTCATGTACTCTTACAATCTAATATTATTTATTTTCTACAAATAATAAGTCTAATAGAATTCCTATATTATCCACTTGAACTTCGATTAGAAATATAGGGTCCTTTCAGATAGTATTTATTATATAAATAGCAGTAGAATATCAGATTAATCTTACAAAGTCAGCTGTCAAAAAAAATTCTGAATTACTTTATAGCAACGTGAAAAAGGTAATTATTGTAGGGTTGTTAAAGATCATGTTAGTATAGATAGTTTTCCTGCTAGCAAGAGGGCTAGAATCAAAAAAATTATCAAAAAATAATATGTATCGTAGGCTATGTCCTGAACTTTATATTTATTTTTTGCATGTATTAATAAAAATTTTTCTTGGCATTTTTCTGAAACTGCGCGGTCTCAAAAATCTGGTGACTTTATAACATATTTTTCTTGGTAAAATGTCATGGTCTCTATGTATATTTATATATACTAAATATACTAACTAACTTTTGAATATTTCACTTTTTGTATAAAATTTATTAATTATGACATCTGAACTTGAAGTATTAAAATAGTGTATTGCTGAACTTGAGGCTAAAAATGTCAAGCTTGAGACCAAAAAAGCTGAACTTTTAAAGCGGATTATGGAGGAGAATACTAGACATGAGGTTAGAGTTGAGGAATTAAAATAAAAAAATAAGGAGCTTGAGACTAGACTTGCGATAGTGAAACAGGCTTTCTTACCAGTAAAAGAGTAGTCATATAATGATAATTAAAGATGGTGATGCAACTAGTTGCAACCATGTGATACTTATTTGTCACCAGTTGCAACTAGTTGCAACTCAATTTTTATTAATGTTGCAACTAGTTGCAACCCTGTAATGCTTATTTGTTACCGGTTGTAACCAGTTGCAATGCCATCTTTAATAATAATCTTTCTAATGATAGTACATCTAATTTTAATTCAGTTGTGAAATATCATGAGAAACCATTGGTGAATATGGAAACAGATAATTCCTTTTTTAAAGAGGTTTGCTATAATAACAAGAACTGATAACAGAAGTGATAACAGTACCTGTCAACTCTGTAAAGCGCCTTAATGGCAAATTGTTGAAAGAGAAAGATATAGATAGTTTTTTGCTTAAAGCTCATAAGAAAATTGTTAGTAGTGAAATAAAATGACGCAATAAGAAAAAGAAGAATGAAAAAAATGGGCAGGGATTGATTCAAGAAATCTCTTCATCCGTGCCTAAAGACAATCATGTGACTAAAATTCTAAGGCTACGTAATCTCATAAATCTGATAATTAAAATGCATTAGTGTCTTCATTTCATGGGACTACTATGATATAAATATCTCAGCATTTGGCCTAGTTATATGATAAAACGCTTATTGTAGAAGAGTATAGATTAGAAGCAAATCAAGAAGAAATATTTTGCTGGTATCACTATGGAAGAAATTTTGTATTTCAGTTAGAGGTCTTATGTGATAAAAATAAAATTGGTGAAAAGAAGGCAAGAGGTCTAATATACAATGAAGTCGTGAAGCAAGTTAATATCTTTTATAAAAAAAGATCTAGCGAAGTGCCTTATGACCAAGATATGGAGTGTCACTCCTAGACATAACAAGAGATGGTTTATGTAAAAAATTTAAAGAGCTGAGAAGATTTACAAGCTTCTTGAAAAAACAGGATTAGATAAAATCCAGTATATCAAGTTGTATAGTGTAAATAAAATATCAAAGTTTACTAATGATGAAATCTAAAAGATTATGGATCATTTCTCAAATAAGCCTAATACAGATTTTAGTGAAGATTAGGACAATTTTATTAACGATGATTCTTTCAGTCATACTAATACGTCAGAGATGCAAATGAATTCTTTGGTTTCAGCGAAGGTAAGCGAATCAATAGCATCTATCTCTTTAACCTATGATTCTAATTATTCTGATGATTCCAAAGAAGTCAGCCCAAGCAATTCGCTCGAAGTTGAGGATGATTTTTACAAAATGCTCTTGGAAGATTATGCGAAGAATTGTGTATATTTTGATAAAAAAATTGATTCCACATTCCAGTCAGTGAAAAAACGAATAAAGAAGCTGTTTCGCAATCAGGGAAAAATAAATGAAAGTAAGTCAAACAATGACTCTGATTCTAATGATTCTGAAGAAGAGATGTCAAATGATTCAGATTATGGATACGATAGATACAGTGGATATAGTGAATATGATGAATATGATTATGATGAATGTGATAGAGGTTATTACTATTGTGACAGAAGATACGAAAGAAAAACCTCCCTAATGATGAGTCCTATTATCTTTCCGGTAACTGCCTAGAAGAATTATTGATTGCATTGACTGAATTATGCGAATTTGTATATTTCTTTTTTTCAAATCACGTGGGTAGCTTAACCAAAGATATATCATATGTAGGAAGACGTCATCTATACTTCTCTGCAGTAATTATTTATAATGTTATGAAATTTTGAATTCACTCAAGAATATGGTTCATAAAAAGAATAAAAGATATATTCAATCCACACCATCTGCAACTTCAGCATCAGCTAATGAGACTCAGTCCAAAAGTGTAACAGAACGGATACAGAATTATGAGAACTTATTCGTCAAGGTCTTGTAGTTGAAGTTCACGAAGTATTAAAATAAAATCGAAAAGTTGTTCCTTGGGTTGATAACTATTCGTCTTTCGATTAAGCTCAAAAATCAAAGCAATGTTCCAAGAGAAAAAGCATATCACGCCTTAATTAGAGAACTCTTTAGTATGAAGGCATTTCGTGATGCATCCATGATCTTAGTTCTGAGGTACGAAAAGTAGATCGGTTGCAATATTGCTAAAAATAATTAGATCAAATAATCGTTTTCTAGAAGTTTACTTGTACGAGCTAGTAATCATAAAATTGTGGCGTCGTTAAAAATCATAATAACTGAGACATTCTGTGTGACATGTTTATTTTGAGAGAAGGCAAACCATCTATTATGTATAAAGAAGTACCATACTATAGTATAGACGCTTTTCTCACGTATTTAGAGTTAGCATCAAGAAATCCACCAAGAAATCTGAATCCCAACGAACGTCGTCCGTTCTCTATTAGAGACAAACCTTATGATGAGTTGAAACTTCTATGTATGTTCTAACATAGTTTCTGCACAAAACCCTCTAGGACAAGATTTACTAATTCGAATAATCATGATTTACCTTTTATAGAAGAATATTTATTATACACCATATAAATGGGTCATTTTAGCAGAAAAAATTATTAGTAGAGGTCTTATTTGTTTCATACAATTCTTAGACTTAATGTCATTTATATTAAGTGGTCATCCGTGAGGAGAGAGATGTTCCCATTTTTTGGGATTTAGGGAATAGCTTTAAATGGACCAGGACTTATGCGAGGAAGTATAGTTCGGGATCCGATTCGGAGATTTGCATGTTTTCCTTTGAAACCCTGCTTCTCTATTTATTTACATTTTATTTGCCGGTTGGCATGTATTTATATTACATATGTTTTCGATCGATTTTAAACTTAATATATGCGTAATTTCACAAGTGTAAATTTGAGTTCTATATTATAATCTACTGTGCCTATACTATAATACATGTGGAAATGCAATTTGCATCGGAAAGTTATATGTAATTGTTTTCAATTGTCAGCGTATTCTAACAGACATTTTTTTTCTTGTTCAAGGAATCACATAATTTTAATTTTTTAGCGTATACTGTATATGCAAGTAAATCGATAGTCAAGACAATAAATATTATTTGAGGTAATAGTTTCGGTCAGCCGGCAAAAAAAATAACTGGAAAAGAAATTTCCGGGAGATAATTTATTTGAAATCTAGTATAGTAAAAGGCTGTGGGGATAAGAATCACGTAATTAGCAATAGAAGTATAAACAAGAAATAATTTGATGCTGGGACTCGCATTAAATGGCCTAGGATCCGCGTACTCCCTCCCTCTTTGATAGCATCATACATTTACATTCGCTTCTCTAGCATTTTCTGAATCATTTTAAAATAAAAGTCCTAGATCGGATCGCAAAAATGTGCTCTTAAATTATTGGTTGCTGATCATTGAAAATCTGCCTATATGAAAAAAACAGGTAATACATGATCATCATGTGTCAGTGCGAAGAATTTAATTACAGCGTTTTTCCACTCATGTCGCGTTTCTTTCAGTAACGCCACAATAAAATGAAAACGAATTATTTCTCAGATTCTTCAGTTTGGAACCTTTTAAACTTTCTAAAATTCCGTTATAAAGAAGAAAATTGGACAGCGAATAAACAGAAGGAACACAATTGTTATGTTATGACCTTGGGCATGATAGCAGGCACTGGATTAAGCGAAATACGACCTATGGCAATTTCAGCTCTGAATACCTTTACAGTTAAGTGATAAAATAATCGTTATTTTTGTAAAATAAGATGAGCTTGGGTCACATCAACGACAACTTAACAATCTGAAACAGCTCGTTATTGATCCATCGTGTTTGATACGAATTGTTCTAGGCTAAGTTGTTGATGATCCATCGTGTTCTGATGCGATCTGCTATTAGCCATAAACAAATCACAGCGCCTTAACAATCTGAAACAGCTCGTTATTGATCCATCGTGTTTGATACGAATTGTTCTAGGCTAAGTCGTTGACGATCCATCGTGTTCGGTTTGTTTATAAGTGCCAACTAACAATCATCTTAGTTGTTGGAAAATCATTACTAATAATCATTTTTATAAAAAAGGATGAGGCAAATACTAAAGAAGTAAATGACTTCTGGCAAGACGTTGAAAAAGAGAGAAATATCAAGGAATACGAAACTATTATCGAAAATTTGGATGTAAGCAATTGCTTCTCAATTTTTCTTTGATTTTTGTTACATAATAGTTAATAATCTCAAATCACTTAGATGGCATTCACCGTGGAACGTATAATGATTACGTTAGAGAAGTGGGAGAACGGCGCAGGCAGGTCATGAAGCGCACTTCCGAAAATTGTGAAGATATGAATAATTTGGAACAAGTCAAGCGAACATCAAAAAAAAATGTTAGTGTATAACTTAATTTTTTGTTTGCTTTTAGATAAATGTTGCCTGATGGACAATTGTTTACATATCATTTTGCAGACGATCCCAAAAAAGCGTGCTAATTATACCACGGCCAAAAGCACCAAGAAAGTCAGTATGAAAAAATCGCAAATGTTATTTAGTCACTAAATTTCCTCTCACTTGTTTGATAATCAGATGAAAGTCACCAATGGTCCCTCCGTGTCTTCTTCCTCTACAAGTGAACACGACACTGAAACTATCTCAGAAGAGAGCGAGCTAGAATCTATTGATGCAGAAGAGGAAATCAGAAAACTTACTCAGGTATTTTATTACTTGTAATTTTATTGCTTTTTATAAATAATAACTACATTCACTTCTATTTAATTTTTTAGGACGAGATAGATATTCGGAATAAGTTGCTCAAAATCTTGGTTGCACGCCAAGAAAAAGACAAAGTCCGGAAAAGATTATATGACGTCAATCCATCTCAACGGAATATTAGATTTCTCTGAAGACGTGATGCATGAGAAGGTAAAAAAGTCTTTGGACATTAGTCAATTTACTTGGCTTGAAGAAGTTCTTCGAAGAAAGACTTGGAACCCGATTCCCGAATTTTCACAGTATATTAACCAATTTACCGAGGATGAATGTACCCGAGCTAAAATTCCAACAATCGTTCGCAAGTCCTGTATTATCGGAAGGTTTGATCCTATCTACTATGAGGCACATGATGTTACCCAACAAATACTAACACACTTGTAAGTATTTTTTTTATGTTAGCCAATTCTTCACATTTCTTCACATCAACATGATTACTTATAGTCTTACAACTACGAGTAGCTCCGTTCGCCTGGAACCAATTAGGGTTGAATCAAAAAACCTTGATCTTGAGAGAACGTATGCTATAGATACTACCGTGTACATTTTAAATCGACTGTTCAGAATGCATCAGGATGTGTTGGATGTCGGATGGTAAGTGTCAATTATAAATTTTGAGTGTTTAACAATCATGCCTTTAATTCTTTATTTATTTCACTTAGGATCGAGTTAACCACTCCTGACACAAAAAAACACAAGATTGACGGAATTTTCAAGGTAATTAAGACAACGAAGAAAAGTCAAGCGATTATTATTGTAGAGTTTTCATTCGCTAGAAAGGCACCTGAAACAAAAGAAGATGGTGACCAAGTCAAATTATGTCGAAATTCCATGCGAATTTTGAATAAGATATTATTACAAGGTGTGCCTAAGGATAAAGCACGTGTCTATTTAATACAAGCTGTCAGTGAGTATTAAAGTTAGGAGTCAGGTGATAGAAAAAATCCAAATATTAATGTATGTTATATTTTCTGTAGATGGCGACATCATCATTAAGTATTTAGTTCGACCTTTACCGTCAATATACATACTTCAGCAATTTATACGTATGAAAATACCTGTGTCATTTGACGACTTTGAGCAGTTTGCGAAAGATATGGTGGACTTGATGAGTTGGCAGGTAACTATTGAAAATGAATACTCAAACATTCTTATAAATACTAATAATAAAGATTTCTGCTATTACAGGCAGATGTCCTGTCAACTATTAAAGGAATAAATAAACCCACAACTAAATATAAACATATTCACACAACAACAGTACAGGATACACCGGTAAAGGTAAAGAAAGCGGAAGAACAAAAGCCTTCGTCTCCGTGTCCCGGTGGATCACCTTCAGAACTACCACCATTAATTTAAAAGATATTAGGTTTTTATTTTTACCGTAGCTTATATTTTTCTTTCACATAATATTAATTTGCTAAAGGGATGATCAGATATTTTTTTTCTGCACGTGATACATAGCGTTTTTACTCATAATAATAATGTATTACTATTAATTATTTCAGATAATTACTGTAAATTTGTGTTAGATAACAAGGGAAATTGACCGTCGTGTACAAAATTCACGGGAAAATGCATTGACTGGAATAAATTTATTTTGCTTTCATTGAGAATTGTATCCGTGTTCCCTCGGGGAACGATCATATTCATAACCTATTTTTTTCTTGGCAAAAGTTCTTGACCATTGGTCAGGATGTTACGTGAAATTAGTATCTGTATAGTACGTTGATATATGCCATCCGAAATAGACAAGACTTCACTGAGCTTGAGACTAAGTACGCGGAAAAAGCCCACTGCGCCAAATTTTTCTCAAGTGTGACCTACCTGGTCACAGCTACCGAAATTTTTTCCGATTTATGTATATCAAATTTTTACTCAACTGCGATCGCTTTTCACAAATAAAATCAATGTATACACTTATCAATTATTGTGTATTCCTATAAATGCTACACTGCTTATCGAGTCGAAGGCTTAACTTTTTTTCTCATAATTTTGAAAAAAGAAAAATACACGTGCCAAGTAATCTCCCACAGATCAAAGGCGAGTGCCCGGTTAGGGAGATCTCATGTGATACGTTAAAAATAATTTAGATAGTGCAATGTGAATACATATACAGCTCTCGAATAAAAATGAATCCGATATTTTATTATAATATACTTGTTATAATTGTTATAAATCGCTAAAATTCACTAAAAACGCTATAAATCAGTATATATCACTAATATACTAATAATATGCCTGGAGAAACTATTAGTATCATTATAGATGAGGTTTATAATAAAACTGTATCTAAACCTATCAATTTCCGTCCTGGATATGATATGAGGTATGTCAGCGCATATATGAGAAATTACAGATATGGTACTGACCTTGAAAAAATAATCAAAACAGAAAAACTATATGATTATTTATCAATTATTAGATCGTGTGAAACTCCACAGCAATGGGCTGTTCGAATAAGAGGTACTGTGCAAACACTGTTAGCTGAGAAATATTGGAGTGTTTATCATGTGCACTGTCTTTATACAGGATTTGGTAAAGGTAAGGTGACAGATGATGGATACTACAGACCCAGGATCCATAAAAGTCAAATGGCTATTTGCTTCAATTGCTGGAAATTGGTAAAGATCACTGATGTAAACCAAAAAAGACATATTTCAGTAGATGGTGCAAATATGGCTATGAAGTCAAACCCAAAGACTTGATAAAATTTCATTTGGATAATGAATGTTTCAAAGCTGAAACTGAGAATGGATGTGCTCAGCTTATCCAAAGAGCTTATAGAAATTACAGGAAGAGGCCTGTTTCATTAGCAAAACAAATTTGAAAAGCAGTTAGAAATGATAATACTCCTAAGGAAAAAAAGTTTCTGAATATGCCTGGTAAAGAAATTCGTTGCATTGTAAACTTGGATATATAATATTCTATTGATGAAAGGTATAAATCTTTATCATATTCCATAAGATTAACTTTATGATTATATAAGTTATTCAAAGCATAAGAAGTGTCAATTAGCTGATAGATTGTTCTGATAAGAATTAGCTGAAAAACATTTACAGATCAACAGATCAAGAGAAAGTGTTAAGCAAAAAATGGTTTTACCATTCTCTCATTATGCGTTGAATCAAAAATTTAGAATACTAAATAAATGCGAAATATTTATTTCATCTCTGTATGCAAAACAAAATAACTTACTACCATTTTTAAACCATCTTAATCAGCTAAAAGGTATTGCGTTAAGATTAGAAAATAAGACAAAAGTCATGATTGTTTAACTAAAATATAATTTATTTTATAATTTATATAAATGTCTAGTGAATGTACTACCTGCAGGTTTATGCAGACAGAATAAAAAATGTTATCTGCCTATTCTGAGTTAGATTCTCTAATCTATAACAAAATTTTTTTTTGAGGTTTAAGAAAATCAATAAAACGCTATTGGAGATTCTTGATTAAAAAAGAATGGATAAAACTAATAATAATATACAAGTAGAGAAATAAGTTCAAAGTATAAAGAAAATGTTTTTTTTATGATATATCTGAATATTATTAAAAAAGATGTTCAAATACTAAGAATAGAACAGAATAACATATTAATGTTAAACATATGGATATTTTAAAGATCAGATCAAGAAGGTCATTATAATCTTACTATTTTGTATAATAAAATATTTATTAAAAGTTAGTTTATATAATGTGACAATAAAATTTATAAATTATAAACTTTTGTAATAATAACACAATAAAGTTATGTAAACTATAAATAATTTAATTATTCACGTAACTTTGTTGTATTACTATTACAACTTAATATATTAGATATTATATAAAAGATCTGTCAAGGTACTGATACATACTAAAAATTTACACAAAAATGATAAAAACAGTTCATATACTGGATGTCTGTCAGTTTGTTCAAATATTTTATATTAATTAATAAAAGAAAATCTAAAATCTTGAGTATATATATGTTGATCAATTAAGTGACTGTTATATCTATCTTGTCAGTTGACTTTAATATAAGCCAATAAATTATTATATGACCTGAATGAAATAGTCAGTATATATTAATTTTTTTATTTTTAAATAATAAAATATTATGTGATATTACACTAAATTCTATAAAAGGAAATTTATGTAATATATTTTCATAATCTAATCAATTTTTTTTAATTATTATTAAAAATAGTAATGAATTTCACTTTTGGTTAATTTTATCTCAGGTAAATAATAAGATCATTCTAATATTAAATTAAATTTAAACTAGCTAATTTAATTATTTGTTTTATATTTTAGATAATTTAATTATTTTACATATATATAAATTTTAAATATTAATAAATTTTTTAAAACTTAATTTTAAAATTGAATTATTTAAAAAAAAAACTTAAAATTTCTTCTAATAAAATTAATAAAAAATTAGCTAATATAATGTGATACATGTGATTAAAAGTCATATTAACTGCATCACATTAGATGATGAAGATAATGAAAATAATGAAGATAAAAGAAATAAATTAAATAAAAGTTATACAGAAAACCCAGAAGTTATCAGAAATTTCTTTTATATTACTAATCATTTTATATTATTAATTATTTATTATTTATAATCAATTAGTATTTTATTTATTTATATTAGTGAATTTAGTATAAATGAGATAGTTTTAGGACTTGGTTAAGATAGATAATTTTGACAAAATAATTTTGTAAACAATTAGAATTTAATTAGTCTTTATTATTAATAAAATAAATACTAATTACAGTTATTGCTAACAAATATAATTGTATTGAATTCTTTACTTTTAATAAAATTCTAAAAGTTTATTTTAAATATATACTGTTATTTAATATATAATCAATTGTAAACCCTTTAGAGTTCTCTCTAAAGTATCAATTAAAGTTAAATCCCTTATTAATTTTATGTAATACTAATTTTCAGTTGTTAGTATCATAAAATAATAAAACTATATTTTTATATAGTTATTATATTAAAATTAATATTTAGTATATTTTTTTAAAATCTATAGGTAAATTTGCTTATTAGATAATTTAAAAGATAAATAAATTCATTAATATTGAAAGAGTTTTTAATATCAAGTTTATCAATTAATTTTTAAATTTCATTTAATTTTTTTATATGATTAAGATAAACTTATTTTTTAATATTAAAATCTATATCAAATTTCATCAATATTAATTTCAATAATATTCATTTTCAACTGATATTTTAAATTATAATCTGTTTAATATTATTTTATATAAATATTACATATTTTATATATTTTATAATATTAATTTTTAAGGCTTAATAATGTATTTATTATATTTATTAAAAACTTTAATTTACAGTGATGGCGGAAAAAACTGGCAATTTTTTTATAACTTCATAATTTCATAAGTTTTGCGTCTAGGAATATGAATTTAGTATCATTAGATTCATCTTAATAAGATGAATTTAATGAGTTATAATTCCTTTTTTTGTAATTAATAAATGTAAAAAAATATCATAAAATGTCATGTGTAATAAATGTCAATAAACACTGCTAATTTATTTAGCACTTTATTTCATAATTATATAAGCTTTACACTTAAAGATATAAATTTATTACCATTTAATTCATCTTAATGAGACAATTATAATGAGCTATATTTTATCTTTATATGATCACTAGATACAGTATAATGTAAAAAAACATATAGAAAATTATTAAAACAAATATATTTTTTTATATATATTTATTTTTCAAAATCTATTTTAAAATACGTAGAATTAGTGATAAAAAAAATATTATGCATAATAGATTATTAAATAATTATTATATCTTAAAGTGTATATTACAAGATACAATATATTAAAATTTTAAGATTTTTTTAAGAAGAAAAATATTTTAACTTTATACTTTCATTAAGATATTTATTCAAAATTAATATTTGTATTCAATTTTTAAGTTTTAGTAATAATTATTAGAAATAAACTTTTATTAATAATTTTAAAAACTTGGAAACTTTTCATATTTATATATAAATAATAGATGCATTTTTATCAGTTATATTGTAAATAAATAAAAATGTTACTAACTATTTTATTTTGTTAATTAAATAATTACATATTATATAACTAGTTGTATTTTCTAAAAAACTGTCTGTTTTATTACAATTAAAAATATTTTCTAAATTATAATTTTTAATTTTTAATAAAGATTTTCATATATTGTATTAAAATCTTGAAATAACACACTTTTAGTTTCTTTATGCATATTATAATGTCAACTCTTTTTACAATAAATTTTAATATAACGAATTTTACAATACAACAGATTTTCAGTGTTAGACAGATTTTTAAATATAAAAAAACC